ACCTATGCAACGTCTTGCCATCCAGTTCTCTCCGATAGTTTATCCATAAAACTGTCTCATCAAAACACGTCATCCTGGTCCTACACAGATCGTTTCCGTTTCATCCTACCAGTGACATGTCATGCTTTCTCAATCCTTTCTCAAACGAACCTACTCATGACCTACACTGCCATGCAACTGTCTTTTCGTTTCCAGTCATGCTCAAATCACATTCAAGCTCAATCCAAACAAATCCAAACTCCAAGTTTCAAATCTCAAGTTCCCCCTTTTGCTTCTCACTCAGAGCCACACGCAAGCGCACCAACTACACTACCGCTCTCTCTCTCTCAGGGTATTCTACAAAATCCTACCAACACTTGTCTCGATGAACTCCATATCAACCTTCCAGTAGTATAAGGTGTAGTGGAGAAATTTCTTCACCACATCTTGTGCTATAAGCCGTTCTCTTGACCAACAAGACCTCTCTTCCTTCCTCCAGGACTTCTCCAAGAAGTAAATCACAGGTCCAAGGTCCATCCAGCCTTCTGGTGCCAAAACGGTAAAGAAAATGGAAAACATCTCGTCCACAGGTCTCACCACTTCCAATGAAGGCTGCATCGCGTTATGCAAAGGAAATTGATGCTAGACATCACCATCGTGGAACTGTATGAGTTCATCACACTGCCAGCAGAAAAATTCTACATAGTTCGCTCCATACCCAGCAATCCACCACGAGAGATTTACCACGGTGCAATTGCTCTAAGCCAAAAGGGTACAGTTCACACTCATACTTTCTCTGCACAAGGTCCAGTCAGTATGACATCACACTCAGAGTACCTGCCTGGTTCCTGATTTACTCTACTTTCTTTGCGCACATCTCAGGTTTCACAAGACCAAAACTGCAATGAACACAAACCCACAGTAGAAACCTCCGTTTCGTTTCCAGTTTGCCACAACAGTTGCAAACTTACCTAACAGTCAAAGCAGTTCCTAGTGACTCATCACCTATTGAACTCACATGCTTTCCCAACTGTCGTTCAAAGCATCCAATTGGTTCCTGTTGTGCTTGAAAATCAGAACACATCCATTTCTTAACAGGCAAACAAGATTCACTCTGTCCTGTCTCTCTCACAGTCACCTGACTACCTATTACACCTATTAGTTGTCAAACCAATCAAATCCAACACCAAGTTCTACCGTGCCCTCAGTGCCATGACGGCTCCTATCTCTCCGCACCTCGGTGCCTCATCTCCAATTCAAAAACATGCATGTACTACTACAGGCGTCCAACTACTCACGTCTTACTTTTAAACCAATGTAGAGTTTCCTTTCTACCAGTAGGTTATCCAGTCTTTGCCATGAACCAAGATCCTTGCCCAAACACGGCCTGATTTTCCAGGTTCCCTGCAAATCACAGTTTCCTACTTTCTACAACTCTGACACCAAGACACTACTACGTTACTTCTCTGCACTGCTCCACGCATGCAAGCATCTCCAGGAGTGCCGTTGTTGTCCTGCAGGTGCCGTTGTTGTCCTGCAGGTCCTAGCACCTCATGTGCCTTCCAGACCAACTACAACCTGACCAACCTGTCGAGACGCAAAAATGAACAACATGGCTTAACCAATTCCTCCAAATTGCAAACAGACCAAAGTCATCAAAGACCTGATAATACCACTTCACTGCAGCCTTTCTACCAAAACCAGCTGACGCAAGCATCTCCAGGTATGCTGTTGAAGTCCTACAAATCCAAACACCTCTTGTGCATCCAAGACTGTCTCCCAACTGCCCAACCTGTCGAGATGTCATCAAAACAGTCCACACTATGACACTATGTCTCTCTCTCTCAAAGTTCCAGGCAGTTCAAGGTGGACATTCATTACATATTAGTTAGTAATATCTCATACAAGTAGATATTACAAACGCAGAACAACAAACTTCCATAATTAGTTGAATTCGCGCTTATATTAATTTCCTTTTTGGATTGCTGGATAATTGATGTCACAGCATTTGATGGTGTCAAATTGGTTCCCAATTTGATCAATGGGCTAAAACACCCCCATATGGAGTGTAAGCCAGAGAGGTGATTCCATGAACCTCGAAAATGAAACAAAAAGGGGCAACAGAAAACCAAGACAAAGATATAGAAGAGAAATTCAGAACACTGGAATCAAACGCTACCACATGCATTTCCCCCAGAGCGCGACTGCTGGTAGGGAGTAATACAAAATGAAGCACCAGGTAAAGATGAGATACAACAATTTGTGTATCTATCTCCACATATGGCCCAAGAATGGCGGAGTCGGCTCACGAATGCTCGAATGCAAAACTGGTCGGATGCTCGGATGCTCTATCAGGCCGAATGCACGGATGCTCATCGAAGCGGGAAACAAAAGGGAAATGACCGCCATACAAGGCGTGATGGATTGAACCAGAAATAAAGACTGCAAAGTACAAAGCTGGCCATGCAAAGATGTGCATTGCGAAATTGTATGAACAAATGGAATGGAGTTCGGAGCCCAAGTTCTCAGGGATGATGGGGTTGTTTTTCCCATCACCCTGTACAACTGAGATATTAATGGTGTGGGAGGGAGGGTAAGAAATTTTCTTGAAGCAACAACGCTATGCAACGAATGTCACCTTGAGCCAAAATGGTACATCATTCATATAATGAAGTTCCAACCATTTAAACAAAACTGAACAAGTACAGTCATAGTTCAAGGTGGACATTCATTACATATTAGTAATATCTCTTAGCTGTTATAAAAGTCTCGTAAAAGGTAGTGATCTTGGAGAGCGTACGTCTGGTGACGAGTGCAGATGAACGTGGTGACGGACGTGCGTACGACCCAGCGTACGTGCAAGCGTACAAGTGGACGGACGCGTGACGTACGAGTGGACGGACGTGTGCGTACGAGTGGACGGACGTGTGAGCGTGCGTACGTGCGTTGACACGTTCACTCGTCACGTGCGCGCGCGCACGTACGAAAATAAGGTCGACTCGAGTCGACCTTATTTCTGTACGTCTGAATCTTCCCAAAACTAAATATGTAAGGAAAAACCGAGACGTACAGAAAGAAGGCCGACTCGAGTCGACCTTATTTTGGTACGTGCGCGCGCACGTGACGAGTGAACGTGTCAACGCACATACGTACGCTCACACGTCCGTCCACTCGTACGCACACGTCCGTCCACTCGTACGTCACGCGTCCGTCCACTCGTACGCTTACACTGGCTTACACGTACGCTGGGTCGTACGCACGTCCGTCACCACGTTCATTTGCACTCGTACCCCCTAAGTTCACCTTTTGCCTAGAGGCTTTAAAAACACTTTTTACGAGACTTTAAAAAAAGCTAAAATATCTCATACAAGTAGATATTACAAACGCAGAACAACAAACTTCCATAATTATAATTTAACTTTCAAACTTAGTTCCCCACACCGCAGTTAAATTCGCGCTTTTCTCCTTTTTGCATTGCTGGATAATTGATGTCACAGCATTTGATGGTGTCAAATTGGTTCCCAATTTGATCAATGGGCTAAAACACCCCCAGTAAATACTATTGATCAAAATTGGGATAAGGACGCCAGATTACCCCCTATTTGAATGTGGACTTATCCAGCAAATGACAAAAAGGGGAAAGGAATCGCCACATGCCGAATCGGCAACAAATGAGACTGGTCAATGCTAAAATTCCGAATATCGCAGGGCACATTTGATAGTGCCAATGACTCGTAACGCGGCATGAATTATTAGCAGCAAATGCAACGGCTGTGAAATGGATATGAAATAGCCAATGGTGCTGGCAACGTCAGAAAAATTTCAAAAGGAATCATCCCCATGTATGTAATGGAGGGGTGCCAGGTTGAGGCATCCGTTCAAAAGGCACCTCTTGCGGTGTCTGGGGAGCCGGAAGCAGCGCAATGAAATCTTGAATGGATTGTAATTGGAACAATGTATCCTGTAATGTTTTGCAAATCAAGGTTTCTACGGTGGATCTCCACCCAGTCAATGTTCTGTCAAAAAATTGATTCAGAGCTTTCAGAAGGTCTAGGGTCCGTGGAAGACGAATCTTCATCCATGCCAGCAGAGAATGGTCCTTCCAAATTGCCAAGGTCTGCAGAGGTGATGAAACATCCTGGCAAGGCAAAATCGCCACATCATAGATGTGTAGGGGCACATCATTGGGTGCACGTAGATGATACTCGAAAGCAGAAAATGTGGCTCGACGAGTCTCTAGCAAAGTATGGAATGATAATGGGCATCCCATGATCTTCATGACTGTATCGATCGTGTGAGAAATGAATTGACATTGGTCAGAGCTAAGCACGCCAGCGTGAATCGAACGCACCACCAACTGGATCAGCAGCAATCTGGGATGGAGTTGAACCGGTTGCGGCACTCTCTCCATGATGCGAAATGAAGCAACTAAACGCAGTCAGATGATGGGAAAAATTGGGAAACAACACATGTAATGTGGGAAAAACATTGCAGTGACGGATGCATAAAACCAAAATTATTGAAAACAAAACCTGATGGAGACCATATCTGGTGAAGAATGGATATATCGCTGCTAAGGAAGCATGTAGAACAGCACTACAAGGGTATATATTGCTGAAAACGCATGCTGGGAGCTGTGATCCTGAATGGAGGGGCTGCATAATACACACATGACTGGAATTCCCAGTAGATCAATAAAATATTGATGTATATGTTGGCACCCAACACGCAACCATAAATATGGATATAACGTCAACGTCAATAAATCAGCGATGCACTAAAGAGGAATATCTCAAGGGAATCAACCAGATTCACAATGAAGAATAGGAGATTAAACGCTGAGTTGTGGTAATGAAACACCGCATCCTTGGGAAACTATCTGTCACCCACCTATGGGAAATAGACTGGGAGCCTCCAGGCCCGAAACGCCGGTAATTACCGCTGAACGCAACCCATGAGAATCCGATTTTTGAACAAAATCAGAAAAAAGAATGAGTAGAGCAAATAAACAGAGATAAAGCTCAGTTATCGTATTCGAAGGAATGCCAGGGCCCCTGTACGCACTTACTCGGCTGTTTGTCAGCGATACGCCGGAGCAAGAGCACCTCAGGTGCATGTCCTTGCCAATATTAGGATGCTGTTATAGCACCTGAAACTAAAGGTCTTGGGGTGAAAATCCAGGGGTAGTACACTATACCTGGAGAAAGAAACTAAACCATTGCCGAGTGGTTGTCAGGGCACATGGGGTGTCCTCGCAATCTCTTTGCTAGATCATTGCGGGGAAGCTGCATGCTGCTGAGCTCCATGCGACTTACCACAGGCTTGGCCATCACTGAATGGAAATGCACAGCCATGATGAAATTTGCAACCATCTCCCAACGTGCAATTGTTCGTTTGGTATCGCATACATAACTGTTTGCGCTCCCCTTTGACAAAGGTTTCTGTAACCCAGGCAACTTTGCCCTTGGATTTGGATTTGCCGCCTTTTGATTTTCCCTTCGAGTACGGAGCTGAACGTGGAGGGGATCCCACCCCTTTGCCATACTGTGACCCCGTAGATGTAGAGGCCGCAGTTTTAGGCAAGCGTGGCCTAGGCTGTGGCATGGACATCAGATCTGCTCTGATGTAGGTAACTTCATACAAAGCGTCATCCCACGTCCAGTGCCTTTCCAAAACAAGATCAGCCACAACTGTCATCAGTGTTTTGTCTGCCTCCTGAGCTTCAAGAATAGTCACGGGTCTCAGCCCCGTGTCTGGCTCCAAACGTTGACTCATCAACTGGAGGAATTTCAAATAGTACTGCTTCAAAGAAGATAGGTGGGCCACTTCTGCCATAGCCATACCGATGGCGAATGTTTCAAACATTTGACGCAGAGCATGCATGCCAAAAGCCCCATTCGATACTTCTAACGATGGGGGATCATCCAAAAGCATTGTATGCAAGGTGAGTCCTGCAGATTTAGCGAGTCGAGACGACTTCAAGGTTGTGATTTCATCACTCTTCGCAGCACTGAGACGAATTTTCCAGGGAATCCGACGGAAATCAAGCTTCGACTTCCGGTGAACTATGGTTGACAATAAGCGTAGGCTAGGAGTATTCTCAGGTAGAAGAACTTCTGCTGGATAATTCGTTTTGAAAGTTGTCTTCAATTGGCTGACTACTGCTTGAGTCAATTTGGAGGCAAAAGTCTCCGACCAGGAGTTTGACGCGACGCTATCCAGAGATGCTGCACCTTCCGGCGCTGATCCTGAAGCAGGATGTCGGCATTTTGTCCACGCCAGCTTTAAAGCTGCCCTTTCCAAGGGCTCCAGTTTATCTGGAAAAATCTCCAGAATGGCCGCATCAAACTGACTGCCGTCGTCAGCTAAAAGTGCAAAATGCGAAGCTGTCCAACCATCTTGGATCAAATGATCTGCATGCAAAGGGTTGACATTTGCAGAAGCCAACATCTGAGATAGATCCATGGCTCACGGCCACAACGCATTGGGCGTACAGGCCCCACTCAACGCCAACTACGGGGAAAAAGCTAACCCTCCATGCGGCCCTTGAGTGGTGCTGAAATTGGGACCATTAGAAAAGGTCCGACTAGATGGGGGGATGCCTAATTTTCATCCAGTCACCCTACATTGCTATATAAAAAAGCGCTATGCATATGTCTGTGGAGGATACGTCATGAGAGCAATGCATCCGGGGCACAACCCAGTGCCTGAGAGCCACCAAGCTGGCAATGAAGAATGCGCTGCACTGCCGTTCCGACCTGGAAACATCATGTATCAAATGACAACATAGGTGAACCATTCCTATTCCAAACCAGACATACGTCTCTGCCATCAAAAACATCCATACGATAGGAGAGAAAGAAGAAAAGGAGGAAGGAAGGAAAAAAAAACAAGACAGAAGGCGCGAGTCCCTGAGTATGAACTGCCGCATAATGCTCACACGCACGATTGTTTTGGACTCGCTAGCGCTGCAATGGGAATCGTTGATGAATGGCCACCGCTGCAAAACACGCCCTCAAAATGAGGTTCATAAGGCCCCTACTGATTGCCACCCTTTTCTGCAACCAGGATGAGAACATAAATTCTGTCCCGGGGCCAATTCCAAATCTGATACGGCCGCCAATTTGCACCGAGGAAACTTTCGGCCACATGCCGTGGTTACCACTGTATCATCAAAGTCCACTGCTGTCATGGCTACATGCCACATGTTACGATGCAATGCCCCCTGGATTTCGTCTGCCATTTCCACCTGGGTCAATGTCGGTGGAGTTGCACGATTCAGCGCTCGATTCAGATGGCTTCTCATCCTCAAGCAAATCGATGGGATCGGGGGGCACCTCAGGTTGGGCCGTAAAATTGAAATATTGCCACACATGGTCTGAGGCACTCTTGGGAAAAATTGTAGTTGAAACTTGGGTTCTTCCATAGGATGCTGCCCCCCTCGTCCCAGCGGTGTAGTGGGGCGAAAACCAGATCTCACTGCTTCAACGATGGAAGTTTGGAACTGCAATGCCCCATGAACATCATCTCGACTGTATAACCTCGTAGAGGATTGTTGAGCTTTATGTTTACCCTGCAAACGACGCTGTTTTTCTGGCAAGTTCAATTGTTGGCCCCATGACAGGAATGTGGATTTGAGTCCATGTACCGTGTAGGAGCGAATATTGCCCCCCAAACTGATTGCACTCTGTCTCCAAGGGCATTTTCAGGGAGAACGTGACAAAGTACAATGCTTCCGCATAGGACATAGGTTGAATTGGAATGCGGACACCGTCTCTGTTGCATCCCGGGATAATAAAGTCCTCTGATCCATCACCATGCAAAGCCAAAAGGCTGGCCAGCCCGACTGGTCTTGGTTCGCCAACAGGTTCCTCTGAGGGTATCACCGTTCCAATGCAGGGATGATGGCGATGTCCTTTGCACGTCCGAAAACCGAAGGCACGAAAAGGCAAGGAACAAAAACGTTCCCAGTGTCACCACTTCATGGTCCAAGCACTCCCGCATCAGAATCCGTCGTTCAAAATGCATGAGGGCAAACAAGGAAAATGGGAGGCTTTCCCGCCGATCACCTGCCTCTGTTCTATGAAATGAAGAAATAACTGACCCCAGTGCTATGGAAAAACAATCGACTTGCAAAGTTCGATATGCCCAGCGCACTGCTTTGACAATGACATTCACGTGGGCCATCCCATGAGCAGTGGATCTAGAAAGTCTACAAGCCAGGAAAACATCTGCCAGCTGAACTTCGGTAATCGTTTCCAAATCCACTCTGAGATACATGCACACCTGGAAGAACTGCCGCAAAGCATTCATGTATTTGACTAACGTAGAGGCTGCAAAGGTGTCCAACATCCGATCAATGTGCAGTTGAGCATTCGGGCTACTGAGAATCTGTTGCAACAGGGTCGACACTGACATAATCTGCTGAACCAAGAATTTCCACAATTGCCGAACAATAGGAGACTGACTAGCCTGTTGAGTAGCGAACAACTGCATCCATGCCTCGGCGCTTTTGAACTGCTGGAAATTGCAGCGGTACCTCAACCGTTGCTGGCCCCTGAAGCGCGAGTGCACTGGTTTGGCAAGGCTTTGCATGTGTTACAGCCTGGAGATTCTCACATGGATTCAAACTGCGTGGAGTGTGGTTTGTCAATTGGGGTGCATCCAATCCCCGATGAGCCTCACTGCGGGGACTCCTTTCCCTCCAGCTAGAAGGGTAGCTGGGAGCTGGCAACCCTGCTGAGTGCACCACGGGTGAATGTCCCGTCCATTGAGCCCTGGGTGTATTCAAGGAAAACCTGTAAATCGGAGCTGGAGCAGGGTTGGATTTGCAAGTAGGCTGTTGGGCCCGAGGCCTGGTTTCTGAAGATCCCAATACTGTCCAATCATCCTGAATGTCCGATTCATCCAACAATGTATCAGAAGTCATCGAGTGTTACGATGGTCCCAGCAGCTATGATGGCGATGATTGGGTCGTTCCCTGGTCGATCACAGAACCTACAACGAAAGCGACACTGAGGCTGATCGAACACTGGGGGCTCCTCCAAGTCTGGGGATCGAGAGCTGCGCGAAGATGGCTGGGAAACGTTTCTTTCAGGAAGCAAAGGCAAACGATGTAAGATCTCACGAATCAACAAATACACCCAGAAAAGCAAAGTGTCCAGCGATTGAGCTTGAATGGTGGAGCGGTCCATGGCCCCCCCGGGATCCCCGGGCGTTAACTCAAAGCAATGTGAATGAAATGTGGCAACATTTGAAAAAAAACGCATGAGAGTAACAGTGCCAGCGAGATAAAACTGTGATGTCGCAAGCAACGCAAAGCTGTGCAAATGAGCAAATAAGAAATTTTCTTGAAGCAACAACGCTATGCAATGAATGTCACTTTGAGCCAAAATGGTACATCATTCATATAATGAAGTTCCAACCATTTAAACAAAACTGAACAAGTACAGTCATAAACCAAAACTCCTAATGACTTCTCAGGTTCTCATTACCAAAAGTCACCAAACTTCTGCCCAAAACACTTCAACTATGGCATCAGCAGCTCATCATTTCCACGCTTGTCAGGAACTTCACTGTCCTAAGCCTAGCTACATGCCTTCGCATTTACGTACTCTGGTTTCTTATTGCCCTATGGTATTGTGCCAGAATCTGCTCACGCAACTCCCACAACTGGTGTTCCAAGTGAGCCTCACTGTGGTCCTGGAGCATTGCAACTATGTCGACACTACCACGACTCACCGTCCTAGATTCCTCCATCAAAGGCAACATCCTCTCGAGGATCATCACTACGGTTTGTACCATCCTTAGCAAGCTCATAAGGCGCTCCAATTCCATCACCTTGGCGATAAGCTGTGAGTTTGCTGCCTCAACCGCAGCATCGGCATCCATTTCTGGCAAATCACAGTGACGAACACTTTCAGAACCATCTGTTCCTTGATCCTCGAACTCACTTTGGCAAATCACTGTCAACATTGCATGACCAAACAGCCAAAGTACCTACAACCAATCAGACACAAATCCACCTGGATCAAAAAACACTCAAACTCTTGGATCTCCTTGTGACCTTTACACTACCAGTGTACCAACCTAGTGACAACTTCAGAACCTTATTACAAGCTCAACACAGATCTCGCGAAAATCCAGGAGCTCAGTACAAAGGATCTCAGCTTCACCTTAGCTGGCGTCCTTAGCACACCGTCACAAGGGTCGGCAGATAATGGTGTGGGTAGCCCCGTAGAGCTCCGCTACCATGTGAAAGCGCACGACCTCAAACCAGGTCCAACGCTTACGTTAACAACTACAGGACTACGCAGAAAAACGCGAACACCAAACGCAAACGCAACGTGCGAAGTCGCAGCACCTAAACTACACTAAAGCACTGCTGTGTCAAAGAAAGGTTTTTCACCCTCAACTCCCACGTGCAGACGTCGGACTCCTTCTTTTCGCTCCAGACGCAACACACAGGAACAGGGAAACACAAAACACAACCAAAAGGAGAGGGGACAAGGGTCCCAAGCAAAGTTCCAAGTTCCTGTGTGGTCTCTGCTTGTCTTATATTGAAACTAGGTGACACCGCAGCTCTATTCATTAAATGAACTTCTGACACCACTCCCTTGAGCCGATGTCTCAACTGGTAAACTCGATTCCAGGTTTCCAGTTAACAAACCTTGGGTCTTCAAGAAAAGGTTTGTTGAAACAATTCCAGCTGCTACCAATCTACTAGTGGCAAAACATCGAAACACTTCCAAAAGTTCTCAAAACGAACTGGCTCTCATCCAAACGTGAATAACCAGCTAGCTAACGGGGCTAGGCTCTACCAAACGTATAAACTAGTCGCGTAACCCTTCAAGAACGAAGTGGTCCATTCACAGTCTTCTGTACAAAGTTCTTCTGGATACAAAACATCATTGGAACATAGAGTTCCAACTCTAAATCAGCTCGTCACATAGAGATAACATCTCACTGCTTCAAACCTCAATGGAGAACAAACAGAATGAACAGAATGTTCTGTTCGACATCCTCAATGTAAGTCAGCCAAATACAGTTGTATCGCTGTAATCTTTCGTCCGCTGTAATAACCAACTCACAATGTGGAATAAAGTCGTCCCAGAAGACGAAAAACACAAAGTCCAGATCAATCATCCGGATATCATGATGACGATGTGGGCATTGTCCTCACAATGCTGGCACATCTCATCAACCAACTTCCTGGACACATAAGATGCGCTAATGTGGTCATTGTCTTCACAATACCAATGCATCTCGCTGTCCAAAAGCTCGAATCAGATATGTTCCCCCCATCAGGTGCTTTCAGCTAACACAAACTCTTCCAAGAGTTCTCAGCTGCATGTTCTCATCATTTGAGGAGTTCAAACTGCTCGACGTCAAAGACATACAAAAAGATCTCAATGTCGAACCAATGTATGTATCTTCAGTTCAAGCCGTAGGCTGTACCAGATTCGAGTAGAATCTGGAAAAAAATGTAGAACTAACTAATACACCACATCCCAGGTCAACATCGATCACTGACACCCAAAGGCGTCATATATGCTGCAAATACGAAACAGTCGCCCTCATGGCTCAGTTGGTATGACGTCACTCTTGTGGCGCTGGCAGACGGTGGTTCGATTCCCGCTGATTGGTGAGTAGGACTCAAGTGTCCGGACCGTGCCTCAGAGCGAAAACGGCCGTCGACCCAAAAAAAAATATGCTGCAAATACGAAACAAATGGTGCCATACTCGGGTGGTGTGGTCAGAATGCAGCACAAATACACAGATCTTTACAATGTCGTTCACCAATCCTCTGTACGTCAAACTATACAAAAGCTTCAATGATAAAGAATGACGTGTCGCTCACTGGAGGTCCGCTGAGGGTTACCTGAAAAATTTTCACTGAATTGCAATACTTTTTTCAATGTTAGTTGGCTTGGATCTGCTGGGTGGCGATTCAACTTCGTTCCCTTTAGTATGGCCGTCAATGTCTGGACACGCAATATCGTGTTGATAGGAGTGAACAAGAAAAGACTTCTTTTTTCCCGGGTTTGGTCGATGAAGCTCTCAGGCTCGGTCCTTTAACTTGATTAAATAGTCAAAAGGAAAAGATGAATGCAGGTGGTTCAAGCTGTACAGAAGCACTGCTGGCAATAAACACAAAAGAAACACCACAAAGGCAAACCAAAGGACCTAGGACGACCCGCCAGATAGCATCCGGGGCACAACCCAGTGCCTGAGAGCCACCAAGCTGGCAATGAAGAATGCGCTGCACTGCCGTTCCGACCTGGAAGCATCATGTATCAAATGACAACATAGGTGAACCATTCCTATTCCAAACCAGACATACGTCTCTGCCATCAAAAACATGCATACGATAGGAGAGAAAGAAGAAAAGGAGGAAGGAAGGAAAAAAAAAACAAGACAGAAGGCGCGAGTCCCTGAATATGAACTGCCGCATAATGCTCACACGCACGATTGTTTTGGACTCGCTAGCGCTGCAATGGGAATCGTTGATGAATGGCCACCGCTGCAAAACACGCCCTCAAAATGAGGTTCATAAGGCCCCTACTGATTGCCACCCTTTTCTGCAACCAGGATGAGAACATAAATTCTGTCCCGGGGCCAATTCCAAATCTGATACCGCCGCCAATTTGCACCGAGGAAACTTTCGGCCACATGCCGTGGTTACCACTGTATCATCAAAGTCCACTGCTGTCATGGCTACATGCCACATGTTACGATGCAATGCCCCCCGGATTTCGTCTGCCATTTCCACCTGGGTCAATGTCGGTGGAGTTGCACGATTCAGCGCTCGATTCAGATGGCTTCTCATCCTCAAGCAAATCGATGGGATCGGGGGGCGCCTCAGGTTGGGCCGTAAAATTGAAATATTGCCACACATGGTCTGAGGCACTCTTGGAAAAAATTTGTAGTTGAAACTTGGGTTCTTCCATAGGATGCTGCCCCCCTCGTCCCAGCGGTGTAGTGGGGCGAAAACCAGATCTCACTGCTTCAACGATGGAAGTTTGGAACTGCAATGCCCCATGAACATCATCTCGACTGTATAACCTCGTAGAGGATTGTTGAGCTTTATGTTTACCCTGCAAACGACGCTGTTCTTCTGGCAAGTTCAATTGTTGGCCCCATGACAGGAATGTGGATTTGAGTCCATGTACCGTGTAGGAGCGAATATCGCCCCCCAAACTGATTGCACTCTGTCTCCAAGGGCATTTTCATTCTCCCGTGACAAAGTACAATGCTTCCGCATAGGACATAGGTTGAATTGGAATGTGGACACCGTCTCTGTTGCAGCCCGGGATAATAAAGTCCTCTGATCCATCACCATGCAAAGCAAAAATCTGATCCAACACTGTGAGAAATTTGAATAACCAGGTAAATGTCCCTTTGGACAGAAAGCCACATCCAATCAAGCCAAAAGGCTGGCCAGCCCGACTGGTCTTGGTTCGCCAACAGGTTCCTCTGAGGGTATCACCGTTCCAATGCAGGGATGATGGCGATGTCCTTTGCACGTCCGAAAACCGAAGGCACGAAAAGGCAAGGAACAAAAACGTTCCCAGTGTCACCACTTCATGGTCCAAGCACTCCCGCATCAGAATCCGTCGTTCAAAATGCATGAGGGCAAACAAGGAAAATGGGAGGCTTTCCCGCCGATCACCTGCCTCTGTTCTATGAAATGAAGAAATAACTGACCCCAGTGCTATGGAAAAACAATCGACTTGCAAAGTTCGATATGCCCAGCGCACTGCTTTGACAATGACATTCACGTGGGCCATCCCATGAGCAGTGGATCTAGAAAGTCTACAAGCCAGGAAAACATCTGCCAGCTGAACTCCGGCAATCGTTTCCAAATCCACTCTGAGATCCATGCACACCTGGAAGAACTGCCGCAAAGCATTCATGTATTTGACTAACGTAGAGGCTGCAAAGGTGTCCAACAGCCGATCAATGTGCAGTTGAGCATTCGGGCTACTGAGAATCTGTTGCAACAGGGTGGACAGTGACATAATCTGCTGAACCAAGAGTTTCCACAATTGCCGAACAATAGGAGACTGACTAGCCTGTTTAGTGCGAACAACTGCATCCATGCCTCGGCGCTTTTGAACTGCTGGAAATTGCAGCGGTGCCTCAACCGTTGCTGGCCCCTGAAGCGCGAGTGCACTGGTTTGGCAAGGCTTTGCATGTGTTACAGCTTGGAGATTCTCACATGGATTCAAACTGCGTGGAGTGTGGTTTGTCAATTGGGGTGCATCCAATCCCCGATGAGCCTCACTGGGGGACTCCTTTCCCTCCAAGGGTAGCTGGGAGCTGGCAACCCTGCTGAGTGCACCACGGGTGAACCACGGGCTCCACGGGCTCCACAGGCTCCACGGGCTCCACGGGCTCCACGGGCTCCACGGG